GTTTTGTCGATAGACGAAACGTCTATAAATACTTAATATATTATCGAACAATAAATTATCGATCGTATTGTCAATTGTCATTTTATCTCAAAAAACTCCATGATATTGTCCATAGTGTCAGTACTACAYAGTTAAAGCATTATTAATAATTTTATCGTGAACATTAAATAAGTACACCACTAGTCCACTACAAATATTTTAGTACAAATTAGTATCAGTTTTGTGCACACTGTGTAACAATCAAATATTTCTGTATACTTTTTTATTTGATTATTTTAATAAAATGTCAAATCGTAAGCGTAATAATTCCCTTACAAATTATTTTTGTAAAAAAATAAAAACAACCGAGAACGAAACAAGTACAAGTTCTACATCTACCGCAGTAATTACAGATACACTAATTATAACGGAATCTACAAATGATATTATTGATATTGGCTGCTGTTTAGATCAAAAGGTTAGTGATGAATTAAAATATAAGTTACTCACTAATGTTTGGGTGCCCGATGATAAGTTTACGTTTCCTGTGTCGGGAAATAGAAATTTAAAATTTCAATTAAATTGGATTAAACGATTTCCGTGGTTATGTTACACTAAAATGCAAGATTCTGGTGCGGTATGTAAATATTGTGCTATATTTTATAATAATTTTATCGGTAAAGGTGCACATCAAAAACCAGGATTATTGGTTACAAAACCTTTCAATAAATGGAAAAATGCAATAGAATATTTTAACATACACAACAAAATTGTATATAATATAAATTTACTTTAAAATAATTAAAATGCATTAATAACATAGTAAAATGTGATTTTTTTTTAAATAAATGTTTTTTTAATTACTTAAAATGAAAATATTATTTGATTTAAAACCCCCCACGAAAATTTGTTCCAGCTACGGCCCTGATTATAGAAGTCTGTGGGTTATGATGATGGCTAAAAATATTATATTGATATTAACGCAATTTTGTGATAAGCAAATGTTATGATCAAGTGCATATTTGTTGATATTGTCACTTCGGTTTATTTGTCAACAAAACAATATAAAATTATGAATTCCTCGGCTAAATAAATCTCTAAAAATCACTGCCAGCTGAGATTCATTTCTCTACAACTAAATCATTATGCAATACATATATAACACGTCATGATAGTTGTAGGTACATGCGCTACCCATAACTAAAATGCGTTTCAATGCGATCACCGATTTATTAAATAGTCATGATGGGTTTTATAATATAAATTATAATCAAACGACCACAGTGATGTGATTTATAACAATATTATTTTTATTGGTCAAGCAAATCTCGCGTCTTACACCAGCAACAGCAGCTGTCATCTGAATAATAATATTCTGCATTGAGTAGAGACACATAAATACTTATATTTTATCCAATTTTCACTCTCTGTTTACCCAAAATCAAAACAATTTGATTGAGTTCAGCACGTTTCGTTTAATTTTATGGCGGCGAGGAGAATTGTTTTCCAGAAATTTTATATTTTCGTTTGCCATCAACTGCGGATACTATTCCGTTTTTAATGATGCAATAAAAGTTTTAACTTCAGTTAACCCAAATTAATTATATGTATAATAATTAGTAGAATTAATTTTTAATATTACTTTCTTTAAAATTAAAATAGTTGTGTGCGTGTGCAATCGATTTTCTCGCCAGGTAATAAAAACAATTGTATAAAAAACTTTTTTCGTAATCATATATAATTAAGTAACAACGGCGATAATATAACAAATATTATTGATATCAAAATTATATACAAAACCCATAGATTTAATTGCCACTTTTCGATCGATATGAGCTATTTATTTTTAAACTTTAAATTAATTAAAAACGTACTGACAGCTTAGTGCTGTACAGCGAGTGGAAACCATAAAATCCAAGTTATAATTTACTAATTGTTCGATACAGACATTTCCCCGGTGAATGGGTGGTCAGCCACGAAAACTCGCAACGCCGCTATACAACAATGAGTTTTATAATAAAATATAAAACAATAAAAGCAATAATAATATATGTCTCAATGAATAAAATATTAAAATATATATGTTGTGAGCAATTATACATAAAAATATTATATTACCGTTGAAGATTATTCGGAACAGCATTACAGCAACAATATGATATACAAAAAAAATAACAATAGTAAATTACGAAATTCAATTTAGCACAATGCACAAAGGTATGATTGCCCTTGCCTCCAAGACTTCAAATCCAATTGCTTATAAGTGCGGTCAATAGTCATGTATATTATTTGTATCTTTCATATAATATGTCACTCAAAATTATCCTTATATTCATTCTAACATACAGCAAGCGGTTACGGGTACCACGTGGGTGACCAGAACGCAGTCCAATAATTATTATTATATTTCAGCGAAGACGCAGCCCCGGTGCGGTGGACGGAGTTCCGAGGGAAACATTTCACTATTGGTCCATGGACGCCGCCGATGTTAGATAAATAAATAAAATATAAATCAGAAAAGTAGCTAAGTACGAAAAAAATAAAATAATTTCGGGACAAAAAATCGACTGTAACAAAATGTGAAGACTACGATTAATATACGTTAAGTGTGTATTATATTTATAGGCGTGCGTACAGATAAATGCGGTATCTAATAAATTAATTTAAGATAAAACTAAAAAGTTCAATATGCTCCTCCACCCACCATCATTAATTCTGCCACCGAGTCCAATAATCATGGCGCGGTGGACCGGACGTAGCTCTGGTTGCGTGAAGGGGAAAAAGATTCAGAATTAAGATTACCAGCTTCACGTCACTATAGTGATCTTGAGCGTCCCTGTCAGCAAGACAAACACACAAAAAAAGGAGTTAGTTCTGAACGCTAAACAATATCAACTTTGTTTTTAAATAAAGCCTATGCATATTATATTTTATAGTAATATATACAATTATAATATGATGTCAGTGTTTTAATTAATGTGATAAAAACGGATAATTAAATTGGCTTGATATTCTTGAAATACTTCATAATATCTACTAACATAAATTAGAAAATGAAATAACTAAAAAAAAATAAAAAATAATAATGGTGTATAACATGTAATATTTMAATTTTTATTTCTTAGATGTAATAAGCTAGGGGCAATAAAAATCTATCTTTTCGTTTTGGCGTAAAAGAGAAGCGAATATTATTACATTATTGTGAATTGCTTTGAACACACAAAAGTCGTTTTCATCGGAAAAAATCGACGACACATTTACGTGCAGTATATATTCTGCCAAAACTATTATTAAAGTTATTTTATTTTTTATTAATTTAAAATCAACTTAAAATTGTTAAAAAATCCGGATATTATTCCAGAATCAAACTTTTGTTGTCGTTAACTATATACGTTTTTAGTGAAAAAAAACTATATGATTATTATAATTAACGACAATCAAGTTGATTTCCAAAGTATTTAATAATGGTTATTTTTGGTTAATTAACACCAAAATAACGTTGTATACTCTAACTGTAACATTATATTATACATGAGATAATTGAGCATAAATTAAATAAATTTAAAATTTAAAAATGACGTACAAAGTACATTTTTGACGATTGTTAAAATGAAAATAAAAATATGTATTAATCTATAATAAACTGGCATATAATCAATATGTTTAAAGATGTAAATTTAATTTAATTTTTATTAAAATTATAATAAATTAATAACCCACATCAGTACCTATTTGAATTATTTTGTTCGTATGTCGTTACAATATAATAAATATAACATTGTAAATTTTAGTATTTAATATTATTTTATTTTTAATTTTCTGACATACTTTATTAATATTACTAGGATATTAAGAAGGTAAAATTGAAAAGACCCCGATAATAATATTGATTAAACGACGAATTAAATATTAAAATTATTTTCCCAGATTAGTGAAAATAATTATAACTATAAATTGTAATTAATGACAATTGATATATACATTATACGTAATCATTGTTGCAGCAAGTCGTTTCCTCACCATAATAAGACTAACCGCCTAGTTCGTCCATCTTTGATTATATCGTAACGAAGAAATAGGATTTTACAATATTGCAGTTTGGGTTGTCCGTTTACGAAATTATATAAATCCGTACGAAATCATATACAAAAACTTCTGTCTCGGCGTCAGTAAATTAAT